GCGAGAGAATGGTCGTGTACATCTCAGCTCCCCCTTTTCCTTTGTTCCGGGGACTTTGTTCCAGTCCCCCCTCCTCTGGTCACTGTGCTGTTGGACTGAGCACAGACCTGGACTTGGAAGCATGAGCTGCCGCACTGCAGGAGCATAGGGAGGAGGTGAAGCGTCTTCATCTGGCACTTCTGTTCTCTTTGACCACATGCCTTCCACTGTCTGTCTGAATGTTTGTCTTCCCAACTGACAAAATATAAGTTTAAGGTGGTAGGGAAAATGCAATGAAATGGTTTCCAAAAGTTTCATGCCGTTAAAACATTTCAGGTTTTTGTTTGTTTATTTGTTTGTTTGTTTTTTATCTATTGTGGGAGCTTGATGTGGCACACTAGTGACTAAAGTCCTCACCTTTCATGTGCCCAGATCCCACGTGATGCCGGTTCATGTCCCATCTGCTCCACTTCCCATGCAGCTCCCTTTTTGTAGACTGGGAAAGCAGTGGAGGATGGCCCAAAGCCTTGGGACCCTGCACCCGCATGGGAGACCTGGAGGAAGCTCCTGACTCCTGGCTTCAGATCAGTTCATCTCTGGCTGTTATGGCCTCTTGGGGAGTGAACCAGAGAATGGAAGATATTTCTCTCCTTTTCTCTGTGAATCTAACTTCCCAACAAAAATGGATAAATGGTTTTTAATTTTTATTTAATTGAAAGGCATAGTTACATGGAATGAGAGACAGAGATTTCCCCCCAACTGTGAAGCCCGGAGTCTGAACTCCTTCCAGGACTCCCACATGCACAGCAGCAATCCAAGCACTTGGGCCATCCTATGCTGCTCTCCCAAGCACATCATCAGGGAGCTGGATTGGAAGTGGAACAGCCAAACCTTGAATTGACATTCATGTAGCATGTCCATATCACAGGCAGTTGCTCAACAGCTGTGCCACAGCCTCAGCCCCAGATGCAATACTTTCTGAGCAAGTCAAGTTTCGCTCAATGGGCAATGCTCTAGCAGGCCTGGAGCACTTCGGACATTCATCTCCACAAGAAGGTATCCGCCAGAATAATAGTTTCTGTTGAGCCAGTTTTTGGTGTGTAAGTCAGGATTGTCCAAGCTGAGGCTCTCAGGCCTTCATACTGGTAACTGAGCAAATTTGCCAAAAGTTGAAGTAGTATCCGAAGGAACAGACTTGGTTTGAGGGAGACACTTAGAGCTGCCTGTGGTCAGTGAGACCATTGCATGACTCACCTGCAGCAGAGTAGAGGTTAAAGGTGAGAGGTTGAACCTGCTGTCTCTAATCACACACCTCTGTGTTCTTTTGGAGGAGTTCATGAGTAGTAGAGGTCAACAAGAACAGGGTCCTATTTGAGTTCTGAAGCCCTGAATGGGGTGGGTTAGGGCTGGGGAGGAAGAATTTAGTTCATCCTGTGCATTGTATCTTCAAGAATTTTTAACTCCTGGTAGCAGGCACTATGATGCGATTCAATTAAAGGAGTACTAGGGATTCTGTTTTTTATATTGGAATGCCTGGTTCGGGTCCCAGCTACTCTGAGCTTCTGATCCAGCCATCTACTAATAGACTTGGGAGACAGCCCAAGTGCTTTTGTTCTGCTTCCTATGTGGGATACTGAGATGCAGATCCTGGCTCTAAGCTGTGTTCTTGCCTAACCCCAGATGTGGCAGCTGTCTGAAATGATCCACAGAATATAAGATCTATGTGTGTCCCTATTTGGTCGTGTGTGTGTGTTTGTGTCTTCTTTCTAGCTTCTCTTTGTAACACATAAATAAATCAACTTTTCTTTACCAAAAGAATGTTTAGCGTCCATATTCAATTTATTAATTTTCTGAATCATTTCTTTAATCCATGTTTTTAAATTTACTTGTCCAGCAGTCAGGTTTTTTTTTTTTTGTCTTAATTTCTACTCTATTACTACACTTAAAACAGTCAAACAACCTCGGGTTCACTAATTTTAAAAATCAATATTAAAGAGAGCAGAAAATAAGCTTTTCACAAAATTAGATACTAGAAATTGGAATTATGATCTGATTATTGAGAGCTCATTGACCTTGGTCTGCTAAGCCATAGGAACTTTGGATTCTCTGATCAGGTTCCAAAGCAATAATTATTCAGAATTCATAAAATACCTAAGCTCTCTGCATCTGTTTAACACCAATCCCCGATGAGACAAGTGCTTAGAGTGGCAAGATGGGTGGACATTTGGCCTAGTGGTTAAAATGTGTGCATCCTATCCCCTGATGCCTGGGTCCAATATCTAGCTCTGCTCCCAATCCCAGCTTCCTGTCCACAGCACCCTTGGAAGCAGCAGCGCAAACAGTGGGCCCCTACTGCTTGCATGGGCTATACTGAGTATTTTTCTTAAAATGTCAGTCTGACTGAGCACCACCTGCTGTGGGCATTTATGGAGAGAACTAGCAAGTGGCAGATCTTCATTTCTCTGCATCTCAAATAAGAATAGACAAAGGATACTTCCATCTCTGTGGTCACAGTCTACTCCAACCACAGTTAATCATAAATAAAAACCCAGTGCTGCTTCCAGGGTGCTAGCTCTCTTGTCCATTCTCACTGCCTTAGAATTTCCATGACAGAATACAGAAGCCTTTTCTTTAAGATTGATTTACTGATTTGCAAGTCAAAGTTAGAGAAGGAGGGAGAAAGACAGAGGCAAAGAGAGAAGTGGGGGGGAGAGAGAGAGAAAGATCTTCCATCCACTAGTTCATTTCCCAAAATGCTAAAATGCTACAGGACAGGGTCTGACCAAAACTAGGAGCCTAGAACCTCACATAAGTCTCCCATGTGGAGGCTGAGGCTCAGTACTTGGGTCATCTTCTTCCTTTCTAAGTGTATGAGTAGGGAGCTGAATCAGAAGTGAAGCACCTGGATATGAACCAACACTCATATGGGATGCAAGCACAGGCAGTGGCTTAACCCACTGTGCAACAACAGTTGCCTTTATGGGTACCTGACCAAATCCAAGATGAGCCTTTCTGAGTCATGTCTTGGAAAAATTCTCTCAGATCTTGAACTCTAAAGTCAGCAACACCTACCTTGTCTTCAAGTGCCTTTTGGGCTTCAACCAGTGTCTAACCCTGTCCTTAATATTCAGTGAGTAAATGTTTGTTCTGTCAAACACCGAGGGGAATTTGGGTGTCTTTCAACTCTGCAGGGAGCTTTACCTTTGCATTTGTTTTCATTCAACTGCTTATTGATGACGCCCCTTCCACAGGGCAGGCCTCACAAGAAATAGGATGAATGGGTGAGCAAATCTGCCTGGCTCTGGCCTTGCCATCTGAATGCTGTGATATGTGATGCAGCATTTGAGTGTAATATTGGCAGTTACGCCAAGTGTGAATGTAAAATACAAACAGCAGCACACTCTGGAGGACCTCAAAACTTTCCATCTGAACTTTCTATCCTCCTCTCACTGTTTACTTGTGGGCTCTCAAGGCTGAACGATCTGGAAGCCCCAAATCTGCATGAAGACATTCCTTTGTGGCCTCTATCTCAGTGTGTTAAATACATGTTTCTACGTCACACAGAAGAACCTTCATACTCCCATCACATTATAACCCTCCGAACAACTGTCAAGGTGGGACTACAAAATATTTGCTTTTCGCCACTTCTTGAGGTAATTTAACTTCATCTTGGGGTTCTGTGGAGTCTGGTCAAAGCCTATTAGCAATGTCTGGCCCAGTGGCCCAGTGGCTAAAACCTCGTTTTGCATGCACCGGGATCCCATATGATCACCAATTCATGTCCTGACTGCTCCACCTCCCATCCAGCTCCCTGCTTGTGGCCTGGGAAAGCAGTGGAGGATGGCCCAAGCCTTGGGACTCTGCACCCACGCATGGGAGACCTAGAAGAAGCTCCTGGCTCCTATCTCCAAATCGGCTCAGCTCTGGCCATTGTGGCCACTTGGGAAGTGAACCAGAAAATGGAAGATTTTTCTCTGTCTTTCCTCCTCTCTGTAACTCTGCCTCTCCAATAAAAATAAATAAATCTTTTTTTTTTTAAGCCTATTGGCAGTAAACACTATTCTCTTACAAGGAGATGGCATTGAGGAATTGATCTGCTTCTCTCCACCAAGGATATCTAGCTCTTTCCCACATTTTGCTGTCAATAACTTCCAGTGGAAATATAGGTGTTGCATAAAGCAGTTCATTTGAGGGAGATCATGGTGTCCTCAGTGCCAGCTTTGAAAAATGGACTTTGGTGTTCAAACAAATCCTTAGCCCAGGACGCTTCTGACTAGCAAAGTGCTTTGGGGTCAAGTGATCCCACTCTACCTCCAACCTTTGTTTTAACATCTGAAGCCTTGAGCTCAGCCCAGCGACAACCACCGATCAATGAGAGCTTTACAGTTCCCAGGACACGGTCCTATCAACCTTTACTCCTCAATCCATCAAGCACTTTGAACTTCCGGTCCTAACATGCTCTTTTGTGTAGAAGGCTTTGAAATGTATAGCCTAGTGCCAAGTTCTAGCCTCCATTCCCAACCTGTAACTTGCTTAAGAGCAAGAAGCCAGGGATCAGTGGGGGCCCGTACTGTAAGGATCCCACAGACCAGCACAGATCCAGAGCTCCCATTTTATAAATGGCATTGCAAATCGAAATCCATTCCCTGCCCTACTTTGGATTTCCCTACCTGGCACACAAGCCTGTCTTGATGGCCTTGCCTGAGATCCTAGCCCATTCCAAACCCGAGAGCCATGTTTCATTTGTATATTTTCTCTGCATTGTAAAATGAATCTTCTATTTCTTTTGTTTTGTCTTGTGGCTATCTTGGTTTATTAAGTATGTCCACTTTATATAACCTTTGTCTTGGGGTTGCCGAGGGTGAGGTCACTGAAGGTGAGGCAGGCAGACTGTGGCCTTTGGCCGCAAGAACTCCCGGAGACAAGCTGGTGAGGAATGTCCGCTTTATTACACACAGGTTACAGGGTGGGTTTTTTTGTTTTTTTGTTTTGTTTTGTTTTGTTTTTTTCCGCCAAGGCCAGACGTGGCTCCCAGGCTGGGAGGTTAATGGCTTTATTGACAAGGGCAACTGAAGGGACTGCACACTAGGTTGGTGGGCGGGATAAGGCCCGCACCCAGGCCTTATGCTTCTCCTCGGGACTCTGGGAGGCAAACTTCTCCTGCAGTTTCTTCCACATGCCTTTGTTCATTTCCTTAAACTCTTTTAAGGTATCTGTGGACAGGATCAGCTTGTACTCTTCCAGGGATAGGCCGCTGAAGCTGGTCTCTCTGGGGCGCGGGTACTTGTGTTTGTAGTAATTTGAATGGAGCTGTGCTAAGCTCTCGTACATCTCATCGCAGGCCTCGGGCTCTGCAATCTGCGTATTTTCTCCCTCCCGAAAGGCCTGTGCTACCCGCTGCCGCAGGTAAGCACCCAAGTCCCGGCCCCGTTTGGTCTCGTCCACCGGCCATTCCTCACACAGCTTAAGAAATCGCCGGTAGCGGCTGGTGGCCATCTTGGGCCCCGCGTGTCCAGGTTACAGGTTTTAAAGAGTAAGGAAGGGGAGAGCAGGAGGGAACCTTCCGGCAGACCCCCACGCCCACCAGAGACACTGTAATTGGCTGTATGACATGTCTATTTCCCTAGATCTTCCGGTCATGTCAAAGGTCATGTTCCACATGTAGTCCCCTTGATCTTCTAGCCATGTTGGAGGTCACATGCCAGATGTGGGCCTGAAAGCTGTGCCTCAGGCCGTGGGGGAGGGTAGGCTTAGGTTAAGCCCTCCAGGCAGCAGGGTAGGGGCCTGGGGTGATTACCCACACCTTTGGTTTTGTTAAATCATTTATCACATCCTTGTACTCGTGCCCATTTTTTTCTGTAGTGTCTTCTCACATGTTCTCTTTGGAATTTCTTCAACATTATCTTTATTAATTCATGTTGTTATGTTTATCAAATATATATTTATTCTCTTTTATTTACTGGTAAGTCAGCATGTCAGAGAGATGGAGATAGAGAGACAGAGAGGTCTCCCACCTAATGTTTAATTCTCCAAATTCCCAAAACAGCTGGTGCTGCTCCAGGCCAAAGCCAAGATCCTAGAACTCATTCTCAGTCTCCCGTATAGGTATCAGGAATACAAATACTTGGACAATCACCTGCTGTGCCTTATCCAGCAGCTGGAATCAGGAATGGAGCCAGGGCTCGAGTCTTCGTGGTCTAACACAGTGTGCAGATTCACAGGTGGCACCTTAATTGCTGGGCCGAACATCCACCCCATTTTCCCGTGTATGTGTTTCTTCCACAATTACATCTGCCTGAACAGGCACTACATGTTCTGTTTCTCCAGTTTGGTGTCTGAGGTAGACATTGTACATGCTTGTCCTAAATATTGTTGCACTTTTCCATTCCAAACATATAGAAAAGAGAGCAGCTACATCTTTGAAAATAGAATCGCAGTCATGGCAGATACTGCTACTATGTGTTGGCTTGCATTATCTGATATTTCTTCAACAAGTATTTTCATCATTTAATTTTTAAAAAATATATTAATGACTTTCTTCTTTAATTTTTACAACTAAAACAACGCTGACTAACAATAATTGCACATATTTGTGGAGTACAGAATAACATTTCAGTACATGTGCACAATGGGTATTAATTGAATTAGGGTGATCCGCAGTCCACACTCTTTGGAGCCTTGGAGCTTCTCTGTTACTTTTGCTCAGAAAAAAAGAAACTCAATTTTTGTGAAATGTATTCATCCCACTAGGCTTTGTATCACTACAAACCTACTCCTTTAATCTAACTCTGGTTTGGTACCCACTATTCCTCCTCCCTCTGTCTCCTCACACCCAGTCTCCAGTAATTACTATTCTGTGTTCTCATTGAATCATTTGATTTCTGCCTATGAAGGACAACACGTAGCATTTGTCTTTCTGTGTTGACTTACTTCACTCAACAATCTGTCCACCAATGCCATTTATTTTGCTGCAAATGACAGGATTTTATTCCTTTTATGCCTGAATAGGATTCATTGGTTATTTGATGGATATATAGGTTGATTCCATACAGCAGTTATTGTGAACAGAAATGCTGTGAACATGGTATCTCCTTGATACTCTGAGTTCACATCTTTTGGTAGTGGAAGTCATGGCTCTCTTTGCAGGAAAATTTTTAAAGGAATCTCTATACTGTCTTTTAGTTTTTAAAAAAATTTTGTTAGAGATGTACTTATTTTTGTTGCAATGTCAGATATACTGAGAAGAGCAGAGACAAAGAGGAAGATCCTCTGACCGATGATTCACTCCCCAAGTGGCCGCAACGGCCAGAGCTGAGGCGATCTGAAGCCAGGAGCCTGGAGCTCTTCCGGGTCTCCTACATGGGTGCAGGGTCCCAAGGCTTTGGGCCGTCCTCGACTGCCTTCTCAGGCCACAAGCAGGGAGCTGGATAGGAAGCAGGGCCACCAGGATTAGAACCGCTGCCCACATGGGATCCTGGTGCATCCAAGGCAAGGACCCTAGCCACTAGGCCAAAGCGCCAGGCCTCATACTGTCTTTTATACTGACTATCCTAATTTATGTTCTCACCAACAATGTATTGAGAGTTCCATCTTCTCTCTATTCTCACCAGCATTGTTTGTCTTTCAATAATAACCATTTCTAACTGTTGTGAGTTGAAATGCCATTGTGATTTCATTTTTCATTTCCCTGATGGTTAGAACATACTTTAAGTAATAAAGGATAATAATAATAGTAATAATAATAAAGGCTATATACAATATACAACACGGCCAGTGTTAAATTGAATGGGAAAAAACTGAAAGCATTTTAGATCACTAAAAAACAAAGCAAAAATGTCTAACCACTCTTGTTCAATATTGTATTACAAGTCTTAGCAAGAGTAATTACAGAAGTGAAAAAGAATAAGACATTAGGATTGAAAAGGAGGTATCCAAAACACCCGTGTTTGCATATGACATGATTTTATACATTAAAAAAACCCCGAAATACTGCATTAAAAAGCTGTTAGAACTAACCAATGAGTGCATTAAAGCTGTAGGATACAAAATCAACCTAAACAAGTAGCATTTTATGCAGCAATGATGATCTTGCTGGAAGGAAAATCAAGAAAACAAATCTATTCACTATAGCTACAAAATATTTATGAACAAATTTAATCAAGAAAGTGAAAGAGTTATACAATGGAAATTATAAAAGAAATCACATGGGACACAAAAACATATCTTTACTTGCGGAAAGTTTTATTTCAAATGATATTTAAGTTTTAGATGAACTGTGAGTTCTGACAAAAAGCTACCTGAACAAGTAGATAATAGATCTTTCTGTTCCTCTGCCGGTTCCAAGGTGGCCTCTCATTCCCTGCTGAAACAAGTGAAAACTGACATGAAGAGCTTTGGACTTGCTCTAGAAAATAAGCATTCCAATGCAAAATAGTTGTCTTCTGACCCTGAAGGCATCCCTCTCATGGAAAGGATTCTCAAGCAATAATCCTTCATGGGAATGATTTTCACTGTTGTAATGTTTATCACCTACAAAATTACAAAGACTTGCTACAAGAAAGAAATGACAAAACATCTCTAACGTGTTCACTTAGGGTTCCGTTGAGAGGGGAGCGGTAGCTCAGAAAACCAAGTGGGGAGATATTTAAAGTGTGTCAAAAGTGATTAAGCACACATTTATACTCAGAATCATTCCGTTTTTTTCTTCCATATTATGGTGAAACTTGTTTGCTGACAACCAAATAGGTGAGCTGAGTTGCTTGGTGAATATCCATATAAGCATCTCCTAAAGGCTAAGTTACTGACAAGCCTTCCATCATTTCCGACATGCACCTCGCCAAGTCCATCCAAAGCTTACTTAGCAGTTTGTATTACTCTTTGAGTCCATTTTAAATTAGGCTGTGGCTAACAGAACATTTCCTTTTAAAGAAAATACGCCAGGTGAATGATGAACTAAACTTACACATTTACTTAAGATTTTTCTTTTTTGCCTTTTGAGATAAAATTTATGTACAGGAAGTTCAAAGTTCTGAACAATAACATTGTTGAGTGTTAGCCACTGCCTCTACCTGTGTAACCAAACCGAACCTCTATCGCTACAAAGAACTTCTTCGTGTCCCCAGAACCTTTCCTCATCTTTTTCAAGTCGGTTTCTTCTCTCCTCCCTCACGTGCAAATGCTGGCCTGCTTCATGTTCATAGAGATGATTGTGGCTCTTTCTAGAATATCATATAAAGGGTGTCATGGTGTTTGTCCTCCTTTGCATTTATTGTTTTCACTCAGCAAAATATATATATATATATATATTTGATTTTTTAAAAAATATTTTATTCATTGGAAAGGCAGATATACAGAGAGGAGGAGAGACAGAGAGGAAGATCTTCCGTCCGATGATTCACTCCCCAAGTGAGCACAACGGCTGATGCTATGCTGATCTGAAGCCAGGATCCAGGAACTTCTTCCTGGTCTCCCACATGGGTGCAGGGTCCCAGAGCTTTGGGACATCCTCGACTGCTTTCCCAGGCCACAAGCAGGGAGCTGGATGGGAAGTGGAGCTGCCGGGATTAGAACCGGCGCCCATATGGGATCCTGGAGCATTCAAAGCGAGGACTTTAGCCGCTAGGCCATGCCGCCGGGCCCTATGTATTTATTTCAAAGTCAGAGTCACACAGAGAGAGTCAGTTGGCCACAAGGTCCATGGCTGGATCAGACCAAAGCCTGAATCCAGGAGCTTCCTCTAGGTCTCCTGTTTAGCTGCCAGAAACCCAAACACTTAAGCCAGAAACCCAAAACACTGTTTTGCGCAGGCCATAAGCACAGAGCTTGATCAGAAGTGGAACGGCGGGCCTGGTGCAGTAGCCTAGTGGCTAAAGTCCTCGCCTTGAACGCGCCAAGATCCCATATGGGCGCCGGTTCTAATCCCGGCAGCTCCACTTCCCATCCAGCTCCCTGCTTGTGGCCTGGGAAAGCAGTAGAGGACGGCCCGAAGCTCTGGAACCCTGCACCCGCGTGGAATACCTGGAAGAAGTTCCTGGCTTCTGGCTCTAGATTGGCATAGCATCGGCCGTTGCGCTCACTTGGGGAGTGAATCAGTGGACGGAAGATCTTCCTCTCTGTCTCTCCTCCTCTCTGTATATCTGCCTTTCCAATAAATAAATAAATCTTTAAAAAAATAATAAATAAAAATGAGAAACTTCCGTATGTACCAAAAGAAAACTACAGCATAATACACTAAACTGCAGTATTGACAGCAGTGATCTGTATAATGATAGCATCCGTGTGTCATGGATAAACTGGTCTTGAGAAGGCGCTACTCTTCTAGATTGAGAAGCTTATTGTATATAATGGTCCCATTCCTTAGTGGTACCACTCTTCCTGTTCATTTATACCAGATGGTTGCATTGAATTAAAAGTGAACTAAATAGCCACAAGCTGTTACCAAATATTGAATGTCATTCCACAGAATGTTCTATACCAAGATTTGTGTCAAAGTCCTGTGCATACCAC